ACAAGTTGACTGTAAAATATAAGAAAGGGTATATTCGCTGGATTTTATTTTAACTGAAACATTCCTTCAGTGAAAATAGCAAAAAAATGTTGCAAGCAAAAATAAAGTATTTTACAGTAATTAATTTATTCTGAGCATGCGCAGATGTTCTGTCAATGTTGCCGAGAGAGGTAATTTTTGATGAAAATCGTGAAAAAGACCCACTTGGGATTTTCAGATCTGGAAAAAAAATTACGTGCATACTCAGCAAAGACTTGTTCATCAACCTGCCAAGTTTCACTGATATCTGCTGTAGAATTTCTGAGAAAATGTTGGAGACGGAAAAATGGACATAACCTGAATTATACAGTCCCCTTTAATTAATATCCACAGATTTCAACCCAAAACTAATCAGATCTAGGCATGTCCCGGGACACGAATGTAATCAGATCTTTGCATTGTCCCAAGGACACCAATGTATGTCATTTTATTGGGATGTGATAAATTTATCGAAAATCCAAAAATTAAACTATTATACAAATCTTTAAACCCAAAACAAATGAGGTCATTGCATTGTCTTAGAGTATTTATGTACCAAGATTCATTGAAACAAAGATTAGTACTTGGAACTATTTAAATATTATGCAAATTAGATAATTAATATGCACATATTTTTACCCAAGACTAATTAGATCTGTGCAAGATTCATTGAATTCCAACACACATACACACAGACAGGGTAACTCATTGTGTGCTCCACACATGGGAGTCAAAATATAAATGACATTGCTCACAGAGTATATGTCACATGTATATGCCACAGTTACTCACATAAGTAAAAGTTGACTAAAGCTGATTACACTTACTTTGGAGCTGGCATGGTTGTCCATTTTGTGAATTGTATAGATGGTTGTATAATAATTTGAATGCCCACAAGAGCTACTCTATAATATCCTTCAACATGTCCCTCACCTCCACTATATTTAATACACAGTATGCCTTGAAGAGCCTATAAAATATTCAGAAATATACTCTATTCAATCTCTGCATATATTAATCAGTGCTGAATTGGTCTTCTTTTATACCCATGCTTGTTACCCACATCCCAGTTCCTCTATCACCGGTCTGGAAACGCCTATTGTTTTATGTGTGAATCGGCGGGATTAGTGAGGTTACGCTTGTAACGGCTCTCCGCGAAGCGCGGTACTATACTGTTGATAGCTTCGAGATACATCACGTTCAGTGCTGTGATCTATTTTTTAATGTTTCCAGAACATATTCGATACCGTATACAAATATTTTTTACCATAGTTGATTCGTAACGTCTTTGTTTTTAAGGAGGATAAGTTTCATTGTATACAATATGTTGATGCTCGACGTTTTCTTGTGTGAAATTATGACTGTCTTTAAACTTGTAACTTGTAAACTAACTCAATACATTTCTGACAACATGACAAAATTTGTGTTTTTGGTACATTTGAAATACGTTTAGCACAATGGTCATGTTGAATATACGATTTTGATGATTGTTCGTTCAAAACACGATAATTATTTTTAAGAAGTAAACGGCGTTGTTAAAAACAAAATGGCCGCTCCCAGTTACGATGTTGTACATATTTTACTTTGGTAATTTATTTGTTCTACATATTTTGTTTTTCATGCATATTAATTCTAACAACTATGTGTATCGGCAACACAATTAAATTGAAATACTGTTTACTGTCACAATATGTATGATTTTTGGGTCTTGGTTTTGCACGTCATTGTATCCACGGTGGGGCCATTTTGGTTAACATCATTCTCTCAGTCGTATAATTGTAACGCTAGTTTCTGTTCCGATTACAAGGGAATGGGGTGATTCCATTTTTATTTGAAACTAATGGGCTGGTTTAATTATGTTTGAGGATGTAATAAAAAGTTAAATTTCATAGACTAATTTTGTTTACGTTTCAGACAGCAGTTGTGGAGTTTTGACGTTTTGACAGGCGTGTGGGCGTGCTAATCATGTCTCGTAAATGGTTTCTACAGTATGTTTTCGGCACTGGTTGAACTGCATGGTTTATCTTCATGCACTTCTTGGATTTCTTTCTCAATGACGTCTACTAAAACAAAATCCCGATCAATGTTGTCATTGCCATAAGCCTTCCACATGGTAATGTTGTGATCCGTGTGCTGGTAATGATGCATGCGCAATGACTTAAATCACTAAGTATCTTGGTAACTTCCAGTGGGTTAATGATATGCATGACTACATCAATGGTAGGTGTCAACGATTTATTTGCCAGTTACGAGGGTTGGTACAAAGAATACAAAGCGTTTCCGGACCGGTGATAGAGGGACTGTGCATTCGTTACTGCACAGGTTTATTAGTAGTTTGAGGTTTTCCACCTGCCCCTAAAAAAATTTGAGTACCACATATCCTCCATACTTTACCCTTGTGTCTATCCACAATGCAGTATATCTGTCTGTTCATTACCCTGGTATTTTACCCTGTGTTTACCCACAATGCACTATTGGCTACCATCTGTGTGTTCATAGCTCTTATACTTTGCACTACTGTTAATAAACAATCCAGCATCTTTTCATTACCTCCAAGCTTTGTATACTTTTAACATCAGAATTATTAGATTTCAGGGACATTGACTTGAATTCTGGCAGCAAGTAAGGTGAATATGGAGAGTCTTCTGAATAAAAATAATAAACAACACTTATTTTGGAAACTTAACAGATTAACAGCATTGCTCCATTTTTCTACTGTGGTCGTGATCTAGCACTGGAGACAGTCAACTTTAATTGTAACACAAATATAAACATGCACGTGTGTCATTAAAGATATGAAACAAATATATAATTGACCTCTGACCTTCATCAAGCACTGCATCCGAGGTGATAAAATCTGCCATAGCTTTGATATACAGAGTAAATGTTAAATTATTGCCCGGTTGGATAGGTAGTTGGGTTTCAATATTTTCCTTACTCCAGCTAAACATCACACTGTCAGAAATATCTACAAATTAAACAAAAAAAACAACAATATTTAGAATGATAAAGTAAAAGATATGTATTTAATGCAGAATGAACAAAATATAACCGGGTATATTTTGTTCATTCTGCATTTTTACACTGCTGGCAGCATCACACATTATTGTGTGTTTTTGTGTCCTGTATTTAATGAAGCATGTTTGTATTGTAGTGACTGTCATAATACCATAAGTTTTTTTTTTTTTTGGTTTAACTATCTTTTATTCCATACAATAGAAATTCTTTACAGCACAATGTCAACATACAACAAATGTCACAGCTAGTATAACCCATACAAAATAGACACTGAATACCCATTAACAATTGAAGTCTCCCCACTTGTCCAGGAAAATGGACATTGTATGTCTTCTATTTGAAATTTCTAACTCTATCTTTTGCGTGTAACGTATGTCAGATTTTATGAGATTAAGGCATGGTAGTTCCTTTCTTAATTTACACGTATAGATATTTCTTTTAACAATTATAATTATATGGTTTATAATTATATGGTTTAGTAGAGGGGAGAAGTCCTTGTCTCCTAATATATTCTGTTTTTCTGACAATGTTCTTGGGCATCCTAGTTTTGTTCCCCATAGATTAAAAATTGATGTCCAGAAGACTTTAATAGACTCGCATTCAACAAAAAGATGCACTAGGTTCTCGGTGGTACCATGACAAAATGAGCATAAATCTGACGATACTAATGGTGAATTCATATGGAATAACATTTCATTTGTGTACAGGATATTGTGGTTTAATTTCCACTGAAACTCCCATAGTTTGCTGCATAGAGTTACCAAAAAAGGCATGGAATAATGAAATTCCCAATCCTTGTTATCCAGATTACACAAAGTATTAAGAAGAGTTGACTTTTGGGTGTTGTAAAAACCATAATACCATAAGTTACAGCGTGCTGTAATTTTGTGGTATTTTACAGGGTATTTTCCCCCTACCATATTAGGAATGCAAATTTGACCCCATACACAATAGTTCGCTCAATCTGTTGTAAACTTTTTGTATTCAGCATTCCCATGATGTATTCCTGGGAGGAAAAGATGTATAATAAGGTTATTATTACAAGGATATCGAAAAGTATGCACTCAGACAGTACACT